TTAAATTTGGAAAAATTATAGGTTTTTTGTATTTTTTAATTATGACTTTGAATTTAAGTTGTTGTCATTAATCAGTTGATTCTTCTTGCACCGCAGTCATTTTATAAATTGAAATAATATAACTTTGCTTTACAACAAATAAAAAGAAAGAATAAAAACCAACATTTAATTAAATACTCTTAACATTATTTTTCTCGATATGCAATCAATCAATCTTCTTATGTTATAATTACGAATATTTTTATCTTCATGGCATAACTTTTAATTGATTCACGATAATTATAGAAACATATTATAACTCGATTAGAACAATTTAATAATTAATTTGAAATCCCATAATAATTAATTTTTATATTACTTCATTTTATCTTATAAAATGAAAAAAAAAACTTAATTGAATTCTTCTTATGGTGGGTTTGGTTTAGTCAATTTTCAAAATAATTTAATATTTATAATTTAATCGTATAAAATTTCATATAAAATAATTGTTTAAATACTTGATTAATAAAACAATGGAATAAAATAAATAAATATAATAATGTCTTAAATAAACTAGTAATTTACTAATAAATACTAATAAACAAATTTAAAATAGTTAATTAGAATTTAAAATTACTGTTGATGTTGTATTGCTATTATTAATTAACAATGTTTTTTATTTTTTCTTGTTGAAATCAATCGTAAATATACAATTAAAAATATTATCATTTTAGTTAATTTGTTAATAAAAATAAATAATGATGTTTTATTTGTTTAATTAATAAAATTGTATTAATAAGTATTATAAATATATTATCGTTAAAAATATAATTTCATAATACTGTACTATAGTTATTTTTAATTTATTTATATTTTAATAACTGTTGTATAATAAATAAAAATCATTAATCATAATATATAAATACTATAATATTAAACTAGTTTTCATAACATCAAAACTACTTGTTTTTACTATTGTTTGTTTGATATAACAATTTAATAAATAAAATGTTATATAAAAACATTTTTGAATAACATTTTTTCTGCTCCTTTGTTCTATAATTGTCACTTGCAAAAGCCAAAAAAAGATTTTAATTATCGGTTTAAAAAATGTGTAAAAAATTTGCCACAAAAAAATAAAAAAAATTAACACAGAAAAACGGAATTGTGCCGACCCATGTAATATTAAACAATATTATTAAAGTGTTTAAAAAGTTACTCGAATTATATTATATCAGTTTTTATAATTTTAAAATACAATAATCATTTTTTAGATTGACTGTAGTTTCAATAATAATATATATCATTAATTTAATTTTTTATGACCTCTTTATAACTTTAATTTATATATTTATTTTTATATCCATTTTAGTAAATATGTTATTTAAAATTATAATCAACAAAACATCAACCTATTTTAACTTTTATGCTTTTAATATAAAAATGACATTAAAAAGTCAACACATTGATTCACAATTCGAGTATTTTTTAAATATGTTATGTTTAATAATGTTTTAAAACATTTCAATTATTTTAAAAAAAATAAACAAAATTTACAAAAACCAAATAATAATGCTTTATAATTAAGAGAAAAAAAAACACAATTCTCAATGATATGTTGAAATAATAAAACTAATTATTCAGTTTCATAATTATATTAATATTTCCAATAAAACAATTTAAAATCAGTTTTTTTTCAACATAAACTACTTTTCTAAAAATATCTCTATTGTTTTTTAAAAAAAGATTATAAGTTAAAAAATTATAAAAACGATAATTATTATGTATCATTTTCTATTATTTTTAAAACACAACTAATTTTAGATAAAACTAGTTATAACATTAAAATAGCAAACCTATAAATTTATTAATATTTAAAAAATATTTGTATTAAAAAAATAAATGGTTTTAAAGCCAATTTTTAAAATGCTTTATAATAAAAATATCTGAAGTGATAAATAACAAAATAATATTATTACTATAAAATAACCATTACATTTAAAGCAGTAAATATATATAAATAAAACAAGCTTAAAAAAGAAATTTAAAGAACGTCAAATTCGTTTATAATTTTTGGCACCAAAAACAATATAAATCTAAAATTGTTATTCCATGAGATTTGTGATGTTGTTTTTGTTAATTACAGTTGCTATTTCTGTGAATTTTGCAGAAGTCGAGTGGTGCAAATATCAAAACAAACTTGAATGCTGCAAATTAGGAGAAAAATGTTCACCACATTACCAATGGAGTTTATCTAATAACCAAGTAGAGTTGCCTTATATCACTGATGGGTTTACCATTAAATGTGAATTTAATACTGAACTCAATATCACAATCAACAAGAATTCTTTTTATTCATTGAAATTTGATGAAATTGGGAATTACAATTACTCTAAAAACAGCAACTCTTTCATAATTGGACCAAACAAAATACTTAAAGATTCAATTAGTGTTAATCAAAAAGGAACAACAAAAGGGTCTTGCGCATATTGCAAAGTTTGTGTTGGAACAACATTACTTTGCTCAGAATGTAATGATGGTTATTATCTGAGCTCTGGTTCATGTTTTAAATGTCATTCATATTGTGCAACGTGTTTCAATTCATCATACACTGGGTGTTATACATGTAATAATGGGTATTATTTAACACAGGTTTCCAAATGTCTTAGTTGTTCATATTATTGTACATCTTGTTTCAAT